TACACTGTAATTTTAATGCAGTTAAACCATTACGGAATTCAAAAAATAATAAGTGATCACTAACTTTGTATAGAATGCTATTATTAATTTGAGATCAACAAACCAAGACTGGTTCACGTAACATTTTATTCACAAGTAGAAAAAGTATTACAAAACGATTTATACAAGATTTTAATTTACATTCCTTAAAGGAGTATTTAAAACAGCACTGTAAGTCCCTAGACATGATATGGGGGCAGTCTAAATGCGGTGGTAGCGTATGTTTTCTATTGGCATGTACAACATTGCTTGCCACAGGCAATATAAAAAAGACCAATTTGGTTAAATTAAGGAAAAAAGTATATACATAATATACACATATATTTAAAAAGCACTCTCTTCATTTTTTCCTCCTAATTTGCTCTCAAGCTACCTGTCACTCATTTACAGAAATGAGTATTTTCCTCTAGAGTTGCTGGACAAAAACGATTATACAAAGTGTAAATTCCAATGGGAAAACATACTTACTGTGGCAGGTGCTGGCAACACTGCTGAACATAGCATTTTAAAGAACTGTTACTACTGAAAAGGTGAATCTCCCTATGTTCTAAAAATACCTTGCCATATACTGAAATGCACATTGGATTTTTTCTATTTACAAAGTATATACAAAGAAGCACACATCTCTTCATGCACATGTAGTGAAAAATAATGCTTTGCCACTTCTTAAATGTATGAAAGCATCCAAAGAAATTATTCAGAACTACTCTTATTTGACTATATACTCTTCAGTATTTAGCTGAGTAACTGTACTCCCTGCATAACTGCGTATTATTCTGCCAGTGACCAAACGGTGGTATTTACTATTTAAAAAAAATAAAAAACATTTACATAATTTCTTCACTTACTTTGCTTTGAATTTGGTAACTGTTACTCATGATTTCTGCACACATGAATAATCTCGCTGATTTGAGCTGAAGCATCTTACTGCCTTGCCTGCCCTTACTGGCTTCAACTATTCTTGTGCAGGTTCAACCTTCTACTGGGTGCTTCAAAGCAAAAGACTTTTTCCATTATGGAATATGAATACTGTCTCAACATTCCCATCAGCACACAAACCGTGTGCTGAAAATGAGTAATATTTATTGCAAATTTGCATTTGTTTTGCTGATTGCTTTGCTTTTGTCAAGGCACATTGGGTACTTTAAAGAATAATTGCTAGAGTTCATCACCACAAGTTTGAGCCTGTTGAATGTAATGAATCAGTAGAGGTTACTGGGATTACTCACAGAAGTGAAAACTATTTTAATGATAAAAATGGCTGCAGAACAAATGGTATTATGGGATGTGGTGCAACAAACTGCAGTTAAAAAATCAGCAAAAACCAGCAGCAATGCAGGCAGAGAGTTGACAATTTACTAGGCATGCACCAACCTTGAGGTTTCAATTCAGAGAGTTTCGGGGTTTTTTTAAAAGTTATGTATTAATTTTTATATTTTGTGTGGAAAAATTGAATTTACACAATACTACAGAGAGAAGGAGAGAGTGACATGAATGAAAGCCTGCTAAATGAACAAATCAGGTCACTATGAAGCTTGACCCTTAAAAATAATGCATTACTAAAAAATATTAGTTATAGTCTCATTGTATGAATACTTTCATGGCACACCTGCTACAGTTTGACATTTGATGTGACAGCTGATTACATTTATTTCAACACCCCAAAATTACATGCTATAACAAGTGCTGTATTCCAATACTGAGACTACCAATAAAACACAACATCCCTATCTATACAGCTGACTTTCATTAAACTATAGCTAATTTAAAGCTAATCTCCTGCTATATTTAACAAAACAATGCCCCCTCCCACAAATGTAATAACTGGATGGAAGGGTCTTCAACCATACGTATTGTAACATGCAAATTCTTTAACTCCCCAAACTAGCTTATTGACTATAATGTAATATATAATAAAAGCTTCAGTTTATCAATAGATGATCCTTGCATAAATAGAAATGTTTATTTTTTAAGTCCTTCAACAGCAGGTAACTGATTTAAAATTAGAACCAGCCAACAAAATCCTAATGCATGCATAAATCTGCAAGCAGAACAACTGGCAACGTCTTGTCCCACGCCTTCTGACAGCTGTGGCCTCATTTAAGATACCCACCTAAACGCACTGCAGTATTTATATTTCTTGCTGTATTTACATATACTTTTAAGCTCGCTTGATAAGACTTTTTGAGAATCTGAGGGAATAGAAGGTTCTTTTTTCAAAAGAGATGCAAAAGGTCATAAATCCACTCTCAGGGTTCTCCTAGGGTGCTCCTTGAAGTTTCACTTTACAGCTGTTACGGCTCAGACGCAACTGCTCAGAAGGTGTGAAATGATGCCATTTTTTTTCAAGCTGATTTTGAAACCAGGCAACATTGAAGACCAGACTAAGTTTGATGAGAATCAGCAGAGGAGCATAAGGGAAGTGTTTAACTTTAGTGCTGAGAGAAATAGCTGCGTTTCCTAAAAGAAGTGATAGAACAGTGGTTACATAAACTCAGAAAAAACCTGTATGCACTTCTATTCTTGATTAAACACTAAAAAAATACAGCTATACCTACTGCTTACTCTAAAAATTCACCTAAACCTGAAGACTGAACCTGTTTTAAAACACCCGTTAAAAAACTTACATTTATGTGCACATAAATAAAAATATGCTATCTTCTGATTTTATCATGTTATTATTTATTTTGCAATATAATAATGAAGTATGGCTCTACTCAAGACTATAATGCATCCACATGTACTAGAAAGACCAACCTTCCCTTGAAATATTTCGAAAAGACAAGAAAGATGAAAGGCAAATGGAAAAAAATGGGGTAGACCGAGATGAAATAATTTTCTTGGAATTGTACAGCTGGTCAGAGTTCAGCCTGAAAATACATCTCAGGTAAGCCTCATCCCGGTCCTGTCCCTCAAATCCTACTTAAATTTCTCCACCAAAGATGTACATAGATGCACTGTAGAGTCCAAATATGGAGAAATTGTACAAAATGAATCAGTAGAGTCTATTAAAGAAAGAGATGAAGAAAAACCTAACTGTCCCAAGCCATCTTGCTTATTCAGAATTATACACAAATCTCAGTAGTAATACATGGTATTACAAACCTGTCAAAGAATACAGGATTTTGAAATGTCAGAAAAAATGTCTACATACACATAGGAATCAATAAGAAAATTAAAATTCATATTTATATTTAAAATTTATATACCATAACAATATGGTGAAATGTATGTTAATTTTTATGGTGGTATTTTGAAATTCTGTGGTTCCCTTAATCTAGAAAAACTCTAAATAATCATATACCTCTGAAGTTGACACATGGTTTAGTGGGAATAACCCCACAAACTTTTGATTCTTTAAATCTTGTTAATACGGGAATATATTGCTGCAAACCACTAGGAGAGCATTCAAGTTCCATTGATACCTGCTGAAAAAATGGGAACTAGCAGTGTCGAGATTTGCAGTTATAGCCATGTCATTGTCCCTTCCTATATATAGCCAGAGAATATGACTATCACCTAATGATATTTGGCATATACCAAAAGAAAACTATGACAATTGCAATCTGACACATGGGCAGTTAGTGCCAGACATTGTTATAGACAAAACTACATATTGTAAATGTTGAGAATAATATGTGCAACCTAGATAAGGCTGACATTTTCAGTCACAGCAGTAGATTTTCAGGGTGATATACAAGTTCCACCCAAGTCAATGGCAAAAAAATTCTTAGCAGTCTGTTTACCTCCCTTTCCTCCTTGTGAAAATGTCACCTAATGAATTAAGGCTTGATTTACAAAGAATTAACTATTCACTTACATGTTTTCAGAATATGCATTTTTTTTTTGTTAACTACTAATTACTTTCTACTTCTTATTTAAGAACAATATGAAAGTGGCATGCAAACCAAATGGAAGAGGATCAAAGGAAGGCAGTTTTATTTCTGCAGATGACCCAAAATTTCCATAATTACAGATATTGTAATTTTCTTAATTGTGGGTTATTAATATTAGTGGCAACTGCTTCTGTTCCTGCCTCTGTGTACATGCACAGGAGACTATTTCAGCTTTCCAGCCACAGCCTGCATAGCCCTGGAGTAATAACGCCAGTACGCATGCCATAATTCGGGATCCTTTCACAGATTAGCTACTTGTTGCTCCAAGTTACTTCCAATAGTAGAAAATGCCATTCTAAAAATACAGACCACAGCTAATATTCAAAAGGTATAATGATGAAGCAATAACCAGAGTGATTTTTTGTGATGTTTACATTGTTATGTGATAAAAATGATTGTTTATCACCTCTTCTCATTTTGGCCTCAGACCTGCATTTTCATTGAGCTTTTATAGATTAATATTTTATGTACAAACTTATGGAGCGTTTTATCTGATGACATAGGAATGCGAATGGCATTAAAAAGCATTATGGGAATATGAATGGCATTAAAAAGCATTTAAGATTCTCTCTTCTGTTTGTGCTACTGCTGTAGTAACTTCACAGAGAAGGCTTTGTAAATATTTTTGGGTGAATGCTTGCATGTCTTTTATGCTTTGTTTACAATGAGCAAAGAGAAGTCCTCTGTTCGTCCCTCATGAGCAAGGACTAGCCTCACATAATAGTTTGGTCATAAGGCTATTAAAACTGATTTTTTTCCCCTGAAATGTAATGAAAAAAAAAAAACAACCCTGATAAAAGCTGACTGGTGTACAGATTTCCTCCTGTATTATGGTTCATATTATCTCAATGTTACAGTTTGAGTAATTACACCTTTCAAATTCAGGCAATGATTTAAAAATGTGAAACTGCTGGATCTCTTGTAGAGTTTTGATTTATTTCAGCGAGAGCTAGGTGTAACCTATGGAGAAACATAACCCTACAACTTTTTACAATTCTATTTTTATCCAGCTCTACGTGCCTTGTACTCATTCTCACTCCTTTGTAGTTGTTTTTTACCTCTTTATCAGTCTGTAGAGTCATTTGGTGTTCCATTACGCTTTGCCTTTGGCTGGGTTTCAGCAGCCGCTGAGTTCTGAAGTGATGAAACTTCTATGCATGTTCTATGTCTGGAGATTTCAATGGACTTTGCAACGTTTCCATCAAGAGACTTAGCTGAAATAAGTACTTCATTTAATTCCTGGTTATTCTCCAACTCAACAGTGGCTGCATTTTCAGTCTCAAAGCTGCAGGGTTTTGCAGATCCTCCAGCCAGTTCTGAATATGATTCACAGAAAGAAATGCTGTCACAACAAGCCGAGTTTTGCATAAGAGGCCAAGCATCTGAAATGTCTCCACAGGTAGAGTGTGAAAGAGAACCAAGGAAGGTAGGAATCATTTCTCCAACAGAATCAGAAGCCCTGCAAAAAGATAAAAGACACATGGTTTCAAAAGCATTCCAAAAAAATATTATCAGTATTGCAGTTATTGTCACTAGTAATTATAGGTATCTCAAGAAGGTTTAATGGGGTTATATTAAGTTAATACTTTAGAGGCATCCTGTACAAACAAATTATTTTGAAAAGGAATACAGTTTGCTCCTTGTCTAGAAATGAAGGCGGCTCTGGAGAACAGTACCAAAGGTAAAGAGGATGCCTAGAAACCTTCATACTGTGAATTCAGAGTTCTAGAAAACATGAACTACAGTTGGGGTGGCTGATAGTCTAACGAACAGAAATATGATAAAAAATACTACAGTAGTGTTCAGATACAAAGACTGTTGCAAAGAGGAAGGAATTCATTTGTTCTCAATGAAGGGGGTGCATCCAGACAAGATCTAACAGGCCTAAATTGCAGCAAGAAAGATATTTGGGAAAACTGTGGAATCTCCAACACTACTTTGTTTTTTTTCCCTAAAAACCACAGGCTAGACAAATATCTAACGGAAATAAAAGTGGGTTCAGAATGGGAGAAGGGAATAGTTGTCTTGAAAGACTGCTTGAAACTCCTTCTACCTGCATGATTTCATACTGAAAATGCATTCACTTTATTTTTTTCAGTTTGTTCTGTCTAGCATTCAAAATGTGAAAATTTTTTCTCTTATTGTCTTTCATGTGGAAAGGACATAATATTAAAGAAGGGCAAGGATTTTTAGTTTTCACAAGGAGTATTTTTACTTTACAGAAAATGGAAGAAAGTGGAAGTAGAAACTCACTATTATCTATCTCAAGTGTATTTAAAGTTTATAATGATACTGACATGTGAGTGCACTATAGATGCCTATTTGTATTTAAAGCCCAGTAATGTTTTTTACTATAGTATACCAAAGTAAGTATTAGCAAAACAAAAAAGCTATACTAATATGATTTATTTCCCCAAACTGTCTACAGATTTATAAAACTGTAAAGGCTATACTAAGTCTGATATACAGTAATAATTTCTGTGACAAAACTCATCCCACATTAACATTGCCTTGAACAGATTTTTAAGTACTCATTTCCAAAACACGATGCTTTAACAGCTTTGATATACACACAAAGCATTTTCATAGATGGGGCCAAAAGTCAGGACATTGCACCACAATTGAAGGAAATACATTATTTTGGCAAAGGAAATTGGAGCAAACACCATTTCTACTGGAAGGAACCACGGGATCTTTGATGTCCACATGGCATGGATATAACATGTATTTTTAAAGACTTAACCAAAAGAGCCCTCACAAAGTACACAACTCTCAATTTGTCAGCCTTGGTGGTATAAAAGGATGACTCAAGCTTGCTGGTATTTAAACTAGTTGTTATAGAAAATGTAGGTATTTTCTATCTTTTACTTAGGTCACTAAGTCACCTTGTATAAACAATACCTATGAAGAAGCTGCCTCTACATTTTTAGTTACATTTGGTCATCAGAACAAAACAGCTGGAGACCAATTTAAACCTTGTATGGAAAACTATTCTAGCTAAAAGAAATAAATACATCCTGTGTTAAAATCTGTAAGCAGGAAACTCTGAATGACACCATAAATTTTATATATTTAGCTCATGGCACTGCTGTAGAAATAACTACTCTCCTACTGTATTTATATTCAGCTGGCCAGGAGAAAATAATGGTTACAATCTGGTAGAAATTCAGAAATACTAGATATTTCAAATCTCACAGTCATTAAGAGTTTCTAAAAAAAGAAAATCTTCATGACATTTCTAAACTGTACCTTGATCCCCCCCAGATTCACAGGTTTATGCAGCACCTTGCTAACCCATAGCTGAAGAGGGGGTCACGAAGCCTCTAAGGTACCACAGAGTAAGAGGAAGACTATCTGCTTGTCAGAGAAGTCAGTCACTTTCTTCAGAGAAACTGATATATCAAGTCAGCATTTATCAAGTAATACTTAAAATCAATTTTCCACCATAAATCTGGTTTTGCACAAAACGGGAGGATATGGCTACAATTAATGAAAATTCCTCATTCCACTCCAAACAGCTATTGTATAAATATAATATTAAAATATTTCATGTTTAACAGACATTTATAAAACGAAGTTACCTTTCATTAAGTGTAGTCTGTGAGTGGAAAGCACAACTGTGACTGCTGTGCTCCATGCTACAGGTTTCATCACAGCACAGTGATGGAATCAAGTGAACTGGTCCTAAGGAATGAAAATTAATTTAATAACGTTAAAAATGTTAAAGCTCTGTATAAACTCAGTCTTTGCTCTTTCAAACTTGAGTTTTAGTTTGCCAGTTACATTATAATATATGGATTTAGGAAAGAGATTTCTTATTGCAAAAACTGCATTCTTTAATTCATTACTTTAAAATCAAATTACTTCTGAAAGCCAAGTCCTTCCTCCAGGATTAATATAGATGTCAGTCATTGAGTATCTACTTTTTAAATTAATTTGCTTTTCAATTCGATACGTGAGAGAGGAAGTACCACATCCTGAGTTACCGTAATAGGATGATATTTAAGCTTGTGCTCTTGTGTTAAACTATGTATTTGTTAACGTCATAAATGCTTCTGTTCTGATATGACTTTACAAAATATCAATTATTTGAATTGTTTAGGTTGTTAATGCCCTTTAGTGTTCATATCATGTTCTTAGATACTGTCTGATAAATCCTTCACACTAATTTATGTCTCAAAGCCAGATGCAGTGCTATTTTTATCAGAAAGAAATGAGATAGACATTTAACGCTTTTTTAAAGTGAAGGGTCATTGGAATGAAAACAGGAAAAAAAATCATAACCAGAGAGCTACTTAGAAATTCTATGTGCTTATCGAGAAATTAGCTTAGAACAAAGGGCAGTTTGACAATATTAGCTCTGTAGTTAAAGTTCAATGTCATAACTAAGGTGTTAGATGAATCTTAGATAAATGTTCATCATGCCACAAAGTCACCTTCTAGTAGACCTAACGTACCACATGTCTGTGAAGTGCTTCTCTGGCACTGGCAACATGTTCTGTGGCCATATTCATTTAGCCGTGGTCTATCAAAGCAGGACAATTCAGAGCCATTGTAGTGAATGTCTTGTGATCTCAGAGACCCTTTGGACAAAATGAGTAAAAATATATTAGTAAATTATACCCTCTTTCCTGTTCAGAGCCTCCTATCTTCACAGAATGCTTAAATGTCATACTATACAATATTTCCATACATTTTCCAACTGAAAGATCAACAATGATCATGTGGTTTCATATAACGCAAACTACAGATTTTGCAACAAACCCCAGAACAGCTGGTTCAACTGCAGCCTCTTCTAGGAAGACATCTGCTCTTATTTTGATGATCTGGGAGTATATCTTACTCACTGTTACATTTTCTCAGTGTTTAATGATTCTCAGTGATTCCCATCTGAAATTTTCCACATTCAGCTTTCAGCCACTGGGATTTTGTTTATGTTATCTTAAAGAGCTTTATATTAACAGCAGTCTTCCTTTAATCTGTATAATTGTAGGCCAAGGCAAACGAGTTACTAAACTTCACTAACTGAAGTTTGAATTCACTATGTCTGAATTTCTCAAAACTTACATTGTAAAGCATCTTCTAGGTTGGGAACAATTCTTACAATGTCTCTCTCAGTCTTTTTATTTTTGCTTGTGCTGTAAGCAGTGATAATGTCAATTCTTCCTAGGTATTATTCTTGTTTGACATCCAGGGTTAATTAAATGCTATAAACTTATTTTAATAAAAGTTTTTTAAAACGATAAATGGGAACTAGACTGCTTTTGACTTTTTCTTAATTTAAATTAAGGGGCAGAAAAATGTTTATTATAAACAAACTGAATTACATTGATGAGCTGTTACGGATTTAAAAAAATTTTACAATTCTAACCAGCTTAGGCATTTAATTAATCTCAAATGTGCCCATAAAGTCAAAATTGTTAATGACAAATGTGCTATCTATGCTGGCCACATGCACTATCTTGATGAGCTAATCTGTGTTTCGCAACAGCATGTGATGCACAGATCCTCCAAGCTGGTATTTCCACATTGGCACTGCAACTCTATAATGATATCCCAGGTTGGATCCTGAATGGTCCAAATATATCTGTGCAGCATCTAACAGTCTATGGCACAGAATTTATGCAATTGGACTATTTCTGGACACCTGCACAGCATTTTCTCAGTAGAAGCTGGAACATCCATACTGAGCTGGCAAACTTGTATGGAGCCTTGGGCTTCTGCTAGCTTGTTCATCTCAATGCTAAACTTGCTTGAATGCTGCAGACATTTCATTTATTTACCTACAGAGAGATCTGCCAAACTAATACCAGTATATAAAAGAAACAGTAATAATTGGAAACTCACAGCTTGGTTTCTTTTCCATAAACTGCCTCTTACAATAGATAACACAAAGAATAAGAAGAGCTAAGAGCACTGTCGCAAGTGCGCTGCATATAACAGCTGCTAGTGCGGTGTCTCGAGGACTGGAAGCAGTGGAAGGGATCTTCACAAGATTTACTTTGGTGGTACCTGAAATATAATTAAACAATAATTAAGGGAAACTGTAAACTGCATTTCAGGAATATCATAATGTAAATTAAAGTCTGGGAAATAGAAGAGGTTTGCAGCCCAGGAAAAAAAAGATGTTCCATCTACTAAAGTATAAACATTAGTTGCACATATAAATAGATACCATTATCAGCAATCAAATTACAAAAAAAAATCTTTAAAAAATATATTGCAGAATGAGTGATAATGAGCGGAGATGCACACAGACACATTCTGACTGTCCATGAGAATGGAATCAGACCTTCACCATGAAAACAAAGAACTCTGAATTTACAATGTCAGATGATTGCAGAACATTTTGTAGTGTATAGTTGAGAAAGCTATCCGCTAGAGGGAGGCACAAATACATGAACTTCCCATAATAAGGGAACTGTCTGAGAACGGAGGCACCCACAGAAGTTTTAATGCTGTAAAAGATATAATTTTGCTTGGTTGTGTATGTCATGACACCATGATCACACCTAGGATTTCAGCTGTGCTAACTTTGTTTATTCAGTGGTAGTTTTTTAATACAGTTAATACCTCTAGTAAAAATTCAACAGAGTGACTTTATATCCATATTAGTAAAGACTTAAGCAATGTTTCTAGCTTTGACAAACATTGTTACTTTTAGGTGGAAAGTGAAAAAGATTTTTGAAGTATCAAAACTTTAACTACAACTATTGAAACTATCTTAAATTACGATGGTATTTTAAAATTAAATTATTTTTTAACAACTTATGAATTTTGATAGCTCATCTATTTCAATCTACTTTGAAGTCCACATCAATTTAATAATATGTAACGAGAAAAAGGAACAAAACATTATTTCTTTGACAGCAAATTTTTTAAAAAACCACAAACCATATTTTATTAACTTATAAAAATAAGTTACATGTGCCTATTTACCCCAGAAAATCTTTGGTTAAAACCTAAAGGCTATCATTTCCTAAGAAATGGTCCATGCAGTCATAAGTTTAAATTAGGAGATAAATGTCTGCCAGAGTATATTAAAATCACTAATCAAATTGTACGTACATACAGTTGTTTGATACTTTAACTGCAATATAGTAATAGCAGGAGAGAACTTACTGTCTTGCTTAGTGCAATCAATGGAATTGTATTACTCAGGCATAATTTTCTGAAACAATTATGGCATTTCCTCTACAAACATCAAACATGGGCACCAAAGCGTTTACAGTACCAAATTGCTTTGTTATAATGACCAGACTGCCAAAAAGCTAGGTATTTTGAAAATCAACTTCATTCCATCCAACTCTTAAGTCTTCAGACAAAGAAAATATTAACTTCTAGGAAATAAAAAATCCAAAATAATTAAAAAAAAAGACACCCAACATATTCAATAAAAAGATTTTAGTATCATGTAGTTGCTGGTAAGTGGGGGAATATAAAAAAGTGGAGAGGTCAGATTACGGCTATTATCCAGAAGAAAGAATGTTTAGTTGTTAATTTCCTGATTTCAGTCTGAAGAGAAATAAGTGTTACTGCATTTACATCTGCTCAGCTATTTCCATTTACCTTTGATTTGTACTATTATGTTCCACTGTCACATCAAAAGTGTGAAGAACATATTTATAGCAGATCTTTTAAATATTCTTTTAGCTTGCCAAATTGGACAGAGTGGAGCTACTGGAGAGAGTCCAACGAAGGGCCACAAAAATCATTGAGGAACTGGATTCTCTCTCCTATGAGGAAAGGCTGAGAGAGTTGGGACTGCTCAGCATGGAGAAGAGAAGGCTCAGGGGAATTTCATCAATGTGTATAAACCCTTGAAGGGAGGGTGCAAAGAGGACAGAGCCAGGGTCCTTTCAGTGGACCAGAGGCAATGGGTACAAACTGAAAGACAGGAGATTCCCTCCAAACATCAGGAAACACTTTTTTAACTGTGAGGGTGACCAAGCACTGGCACAGATTGACCAGAGAGGTTGTGGAGTCTCCCTCCTTGGAGATGCTTAGAAGCCCATGGTCCTGGGCAACTAGCTCTAGGAGACACTGCTTGAGCAGAAGGGTTGAACCAGACGATCTCTATAGGTCCCTTCCTACCTCAACTGTTCAGTATTCTGAGTTATTGAAATACAGCAGATCTCAAAACTCAAGTCAATAGAGAGGCTGAAGTCTCCTACATGAACTAGAAATAAATTTTGAAACTCTGTCCTTGTACTGAACTGTCATATCATTTTCATGATCATAGCAGATGGTCTATCTATTGCTTGTATTCCAGATAAAATTCCAGAGTAAAATTCCAATTCAGGGTCTCAGGTACTTTTCTTCTTAAACTATTGTTACCTGTCCTTCACTTTATGTTCTCCTATAATTCCTATTACTCACAGAACTAAGATCTATGACCTCTCTTCCAGATCTTCATTGTTATTTAAAACAAAGAGCAAAACCAGTGTCATAATCTTTTTGTCATAACCTGAATGCTCTTGGCAGGAGCATTGCAATCTTCCACAGAGAAAACTTTACGCTCAGTTTCTAGGATTCTTGCAGCTGTAGTTTTAAGTTTATAGTTTTAACAGACTGCAGAAATTTCTGCATGGTATGTAAAGTTCTGCAATATAATTCTGTAAGAAGCAGTAAAACTATATAAAAAAAAGCTGTCTATACATCAACGTGTGCTGGCTTTGCTGTGAAAATCAAGGACTGTGCTTTGATATCAGGTTTTCAATTTTAGTCAACTGCCTGATCTAATCTTTAGAAGGTTAAAGACAGCCTAGACAAATACTTAAAAGCAAGAAAATAAAAAAAAATGATCAGAACGTCTACAAGTATTTTTCATATCAATATACCTACTTGTATCAATGTACATAGCTAAAAGCACTAAACAGTTCTTAGAAATTAGGCCTTCACAGTTAGTAGAAAAAAGAACTGTTAATTTTGAAAGCAAAAATAGAGCAAGAGCACTGGAGGTGGAGCTGCTATATTTTTGTCTGTCTTCATTTGCTCACAAAATATATTGCAAGTATAATTTGCAAGTATAATTACATACTACATATTCTGGGAAATTCTAAATGATCTAGATTTCTTCAGTGCCCATCAGCAATATCCAAACTGGAAATACAGCGATTTTATTTTTAACAGGGATGGCAAAAGTTTTATTTTATTTTAGCAATCTAGTTATTTCAGATTTAGTTTATTTGGTTGATTTTTTTTTTTTTTTTACTTGAGAAAGCAATTTTCTATTCCTGAGAATGCCTACCACTCATCTTCACCTTCAAAGAACTGTTTGGAATAGCTACTGTGAGCAGTCCATTGTAGTGTAGCTCCAATTATAATGATAGTGATCTTCCCTGCAGAGACCAACATTTCAGAAGTGGATTGCTATTGTAGAAGTGGCCCGTTGGGCATTGCTGAACTCTGCTTTCAGTGTTACTCAGATATGTATGCATTTTCATAAACTCTCTCTTTCTTTTCAGGCTCACAGACTTAATGAACCCATTTCAGTAAAGCAAGGAGGTGAATTTTAAACTTTAAACTTGTATTTACATCTGTTAAATGATTACATGATTAAATTTAAATATGTAAACACTGTGAATTGGACATGATACATTAAGAAAGGAGGGAGGAGGTGCACACTGTTTTATGACTCTGAAAAGCATGTGCATATTATGCATCACAAAAATGAAACAAAAAATGTATTTTATTTGAGAAAGAGACTTTCTAAGTCTTAGTTCCAACATATTCTGGAAATGTGCTAGTGCTAGAGAAGAATACCCAAAATACCAAGCTGTCTCCTGCATAATTTTGAGATGTAAACCTAAATACACATTATTCCCTTAGTTAACCAATAGTACATCATAATGTCAGTATATGCAAAGGTATGGTTCTTAAAAGCAAGTAAAGTTTCTGTTAATCCAAAAATGTTAAATAGCAGTAACTTAGCTAATACAGAACATGTGAATCCCAGCTGTATCACTATAACTTCTGCCAATAAACAGAATAGTTGAATTTGCGGCCTATTATAGCAAACAACCAGAGACAGGACAAAATGTAAAAAGACTTCCTTTATCACTTATTTCAAGTTTATTTTCTCAGATTTTTTTTCTGCAGAACCATGATTAGTTACAGTCACTACTGGAATCAGAATGCCTATGAGAAAGTTTTCTGTGGTAGGTTAACCATGTGAAAACAGAACTTGCAACATTTTATGTTTCTTCTTTGGATATAATAAATAATAATAAAATAATAATCTAATAATTACCAAAGCTGAGGAGAATAAAATGTGGAATATTTTTTTGGGGGCTTTCTTTCTTACCACGTCCAGTCAATGCTAAGGCAAAGAGCATTTACTCAGTAAAACAAAGCTGATCAAAACTCCACTTAGATAGTGGTAACACAGTAATATTGGACAGAGCTCTGTCTTTTACAATCACGATTTAAAATAAGATATAAAAGTAAATTAAAATGTTGTTAATTCCTGGAATATGGGTATTTCTGGTCAGGAGAAGGGAAAGGAGCATCTAACTATTAGAAAAAGTGTTTGCCCACTAGCTTTACACTGATTGGCCCAAGTCAGTGGTATCAACCTTAATTTGACAAAAATTAAGGGCTCAGAGATACCCTCAAGTTACTGCCTGTCAGCTGAATTGCAGTGGGTATCTGTACGTGTGCTCTTGATTCATGGAAAATGCAAGACAATGTGACTTATCATTAAACTCTTTCATTTTGAAGAAAGTTTAGAAGTTGTTTATATTCATTCAAAAGTAAAAAGGCAATACCTCTCTACCTAGTCCCCAACAAGCAAAATAATGTATTGTGTATAAACATGATGTGTGTATATATAAACCAGGTACTATATGCGTGTATATATATAATACATGTGTAATATATACTACTGGTCATTAACATCAATGGAAAGTAAGTTGTCCCGAGTACATTTCTGAGTCCTTACACAGCAGCAGATTGCCTCCTTTCTCCTGATCTTTCAAGTAGGTGGTAAGAAACTTTATTAAACATTACTG